AGACCTTGGGAACTTAAGGATGCCTCCAAAGTATAGCATATGGGGGCCCAAGATTACTTCTATATGGTATGCCTTGAGAATCCGATAGCGATTCGAGTTTAGAATTTGGTTCTAAATAAAAATTTATTATATATCGATTATTTCTAATTAAGAAAAGAATTTATTTGTTATGTTTCTGTGATTGATAACAAATAACAAAAAATGTTAAATAATACTAAGAAGAAAAAAGTTATTTTTATGTATAACAATAACAATAAATTATCATCCTAAGTTGAAATATATTAAACTAGACTAAAGTACATTAAAGTACTTCAAAGTACCTTCAAGTACCTCAAAGTACATTAAAGTACTTTAAAGTACGAAGTACGGTGTTTTCTCCTTGCCTATTACTATGGTTTTGAGATATTTTGTACTTTTGGTAAAATTTTTTGTTTTTTTATATTCATTCATATAAAGTAGATTTAGATAGAATACCGACCAAATATATTCTACCGTGTGAGAATATCCGATGGCAATAATTAATTTAATTTGATGTGCCATTTTGAAGGTCTAAAGTGAAACATTGAGTATACTCCATTTTAAAATCAGTTTTTAGAGATTTCAACGAAAGTTCAACTTCTAAAACTTCCTTAACGTTTTTCTCAAATCTAAGCTCTCTTTATGGAAAGTCTTGTTAAAACTTAACAGTAAGTAAAAAAATATTTCAGGTAGTTCAATGTTATAGAAAAACAATCTTAGGCTATCCTTAATGTGAAAAAATTTTTGTTAAATAGGTAGCTGAGTTTTATTTAAGTTGAAAACTGTTTTAATCGAGTATTAATGTAACTTTCAGTTGTCGGTATTCATATGAATCGTTTTCACGTTGATTTTTTAAAGTCGCTAACCATGTGCGTTTGTTTCTTTAAATTTTTATCGCGTATGCTCATTATTTCGGTTAAAAAGTGACCGTAGGTTTAAATGTATACAATAAATGTTATTTGCGTTAATGGACATGTGTCAAGTTTTATTTCGTAAAAAAATGAAAAAGAAAACAGTAAAATAAATAAGACATACACGAGAAAAATGATAAAAAGAAGATATTAAGAGATATTAAAGATTGATGTTCTCACCGTGCGACATCACCATTAGAGATACAAAGGATCATAGAAATAGTCGAAGTACACCTTATAATGTTTAGAATCAGTTTTTAATAAATATATTACTTTCCCTACATGTCCTTAATTCATAGAAAATGATTAGTCTATGAGTATGATAAACGTCATGAGTTGCTATGATTATTAGCGTTGACATGAGTAGTCCAGATTGCTTGTAACACAGCTATTTCCAGAAACACAATCAGCAACTAGTTTACCTACTCTCAATCCCTCCATATATGCACCGTGAACAAAGCCAAAGTATTTTTGGGAATATGCCTCACCTGCAAAATACAGTCGTCCAATAGATCTTTGAGCATTTGCAAATTGACACTCTGAAGTTCCTGTGGGCCAGTTACTGTACGAACCACGATACAATGGATCTTGATTCCAACGATAATAGTAAAAGTTGTCCGGATCGGGAATATCGTTACCAAACATTGATTTCAATACTGTCATTATTTGTGATAATGTCTGGTTATTGCTTTGTGCTTCAACTACATACGATTCATCAGTGACAACCGTTACAAATAGGATATTACTGCGAGGAAGAAATCCTATTTCACTTAGTGATTGCCATTGTGGATAATAACCTCTTCGATAAGAATCTGCATATAGAAAAAATTGAGTATTTTTCCAGAACTTGCGAGGAAATTTCAGAAAATTTTTTGTATAAGTTACCATTTTGATTGCAAAGATTGCTTCTCGTTTCCACGATGGAAATGTTGGTATAAACTTAACATCATTATGTTGGAGAACACCTATTGAAAATGTGCAGATAGCATAATCAGCAAGAATAGTTGTTCCATTGGCAAGTGTTATATTGACTGCAGTATCAGAATAGACTATATTTTTAACAACACTATTATAGAGGATATTTTCATTAGTCGCAAAATTTTTGGCTTCTTCACGTACTAGAGTTGCATATCCTCTTTGATCAATAACAAATTCATCATCTGCTGACCACGTAATAAACGTTTCATTGTTGTTGATTGCTGCTCCGATCATACTTGATGCGCGTTAATTATCAGCATATTCTAAATCAAATACCCACCAATCTGCTACTTTTTCATATGGTGTTTCAGGTAACAATCCGTTTAGGTTTTGTCCTTCAGCAAATGATAGATCTTCAAGATTTGAAGTTTTTCTTATATTAGCATCAGCAACTACTTGATAGAAATTATCCCATGCATTATTGATAACATTTAAATAGTTGGCAGGTCCATTTTGATCATATGTTAATAGATCATCAAAATTACTTGGAGTAGTTTGGAGCTTATACTTCTTTGCCAATGTCCATATAGGATTCTCCTGTTGTGTTGCAGGATTCCGCGTTCCTTGAACCCAATTTGCTCCTAATTCAATTGTATAACCTGCAAAAGTTGTTTCTTTCATTCGACCTCCAAGACGTGACTGTGCTTCAACAATCACAAAGTCAGATACACCATTTTCTGATAATGTACATTTTGCATTATAATATGTTTTGCTCATTTCA